GAGTCTCATAGCAAAGGGTCTGAATACTTATGTAAATAAGGTATTTCAGTTTTTTACTTTTAATATATTTGTACAATTTTCTCAACCTATTTTTGCTTTGTCATTATGGGGTATTGTGTGTAGATTAATGAGATACATTTTAGAATAAGGCTGTAACGTAACAAAATGTGGAAAAAGTAAAGGTGTCTGAATACTTTCCGAAGGCACTGTAAATCCAAAGTGTCACTTGGTGTTAATTTAAATGAAAGGAGATAACATTGAGCAAAATTATTCATCATATCACTTTAGTAAAGGATTTTTAAAGGCTTCATCACCTTAGATTTGAGCGTCCGTGGGCTCCATTTAAGAAAATCCTCAACTTTAAAATGTCTCATTGGTCTTACTACTGATACTTTAAGTCATTAAAGTGTGATAGCGTTTTAACTACTTTGCAGATATTAAACAAACAGTCAAAAATATCAAATTCCCAGTTTATGCTACAAAACCAACTTCATAAGAGGTTTTAAAAATAGGTTATATTTGCCTCAACATTCCATGACGTACACTAAGGCATTGTTGGCAAAATATATTGATTCAACTCAATACATGATTAATATAATTCACCAATACATTTCTTGGTAGTCCAAAAAAATATTCCTATCAGGTTGTAAATCACAGCTGGCCTGGTACATTGTTTGCTGCCTCCATTCGGGATGCACGGTTTCAATTTCAATGGCTCAATATTTTGGACCAAAATGGACAAACGTAACAAAGGCTGGGAATGACAATACAATCAAACTAGCAAGGCCAATGATCACATGTCAGTCATAATGTGGCTAATAGGCTAGCATATCTATTTATGTAGAAGCTAAAAACATTGAGCCTAACGTTAGCTAGATTGGAGGAGTGGGTGAGTGACTGACTTTTTCCCCCATATCGTTTTTCCTTGGCTATACACAGCTAGAGATGCAGGTGTCATTTGGTTAGCTAGCAAGAACTTGAACTACTGTTATCCAGTTAGCGTATCTCTTGTGTTGGCAAATTCACTCTGGCTATCTACTCCAATTTCAGAGCACTCTCGTCTGAGTGTGCCAGAGCGCAGAATAACTGATGAATTTACGAACGAATATGACCAGTGTCAGTAAACGTAGGCAAAGAAAGTAATAGTTAGTCACAAACGCTCTAGATAACATGTAAACAGCCTAACCAGCTCTGCTAGGGTGAGTAAAATGGTCAGAGTAAGGTCTTCTCTCATTTGTGTCTGGAAGTAGCTAGCTAGCAAGCTGGCCAACTTTAGACAGTTATCTTTGGGTGCTTGGTTGGGACAAGCATCTATTTTGGGCAGGCAAGCTGCAGAAGGACGAGTAGGCAACAATTCCCCATAGTTTATCAGTGCTATTTTGACTACCAACTAGCTGAAAATGTTTGAGAGGGTTTATCTAATGTTCCTTCATTAATGTCTTTCTCCGGCTAGCATTAGTTGTGGATCTTGTTGATGTGAATAACTGGGGAGAGAGCCTACTTTTTCATGGTTGTTTAATCAATAGGACTGTAAAGTTCCCAAATGTAAGAGGACTCCCAAGTGGTATTGACATATTTGCAGAAATCCATTCAGGTGTATTTTTTGGCGAATGCGTTCTAATGATCTAAAGTCGCACTGTAGCAACTGCCTGTAAACACACAGTCCAGTTCAAAGTGAATGATGGGAGGCCTGTGTGCAAATGGCTTGTTTGCATAAAGGCCTACTGTAGCTCTGATTGGCTATGGCGCACCGGTCTGCGTAGACTGGTCCTGGATGAGACAAGATGTTTTCATTAGGTTTTATTTACTACTGTGTCTATTAATTGTCCAAAAGCACGGCCGCTATTGCTATAGAATTTTCACAAATGCCTTAGTATACAGTACGTAACAAACATTCTAAGAATTTATGAAAACATGAAAATTACCATATCTAAGTGCTCGCTTGTCAGAAAATGTTTAAAAAAGTGTCATATTCAGGGCCTCCCGAGGGGCGCAGTGGTTGAAAGCACTGCATCTCAGTGCTAGAGGCGCCACTACAGATCCGGGTTCGATCCCGGGCTGTGTCGCAGCCGGCCGCGATCGGGAGACCCATGAGGCAGCGCACAATTGGCCCAGCGTCGTCTGCGTTAGGGGACGGTTTGGCCGGCCGGGATGTCCTTGTCCCATCGCACTCTAGCGACTCCTTGTGGCGGGCCGGGCGCATGCACGCTGACTTCAGTCGCCAGCTGTACGGTGTTTCCTCTGACACATTGGTGCGGCTGGCTTCCGGGTTAAGCGAGCAGTGTGTCAAGAAGCAGTGCGTCTTGGCGGGGTCGTGTTTCGGAGGACGCATGGCTCTCGACCTTCGCCCCTCCTGAGTCCATATGGGAGTTGCAGCGATTGGACAAGACTTTTAACTACCAATTGGGGAGAAAGAAGGGGTAAAAAGTACTTGCATTCGCCAAGTCTTATTCTTCCTAGGGGTGTATATGGAAGAATTATTCAGATCTAATGTTGCTAAAATGCTGTCAGTCCTACTTTAAGCTGTCATATTAGTTGATTTAGAAGGGGAAGATGTACCTAAATACATTTAAATAAATGTTTGTATTTTATTTTAAAAAATATGCCATGCCCAAATGCCACTGCAATTCAAGAACAACCCCACTGTCTGTCATGGTGAAGGCATAACAGCCACACAAAAGTTAAATGTGTCATGTTATGATACCAGTCCCAAATCAATTTATTTCAGTATATTTGTAATCCATGTTTATGAGTGAAGTCAGAGTTGAGTGTTTCATTGTTATCTGGTGGCTGAATTCTACTGTCGATACTGGGGTCATATAGCAGACATTTGCTCTTTACTCTACCTTTTCTCTAAGGTTGTGTTTTATGATGCACTAGCTGGCTGCTTTACAGCCCTGTGTAGAAGAGACCTTGTGCAGCTAACCCTGTGAGCAATTTATTTTAATGCTTTTAAAATTACCTCCATCCTCACCACTATTATATCTCTAGTTATAAGACTCTGAAATTACTGATAGTCCTGATTTGAATCGTGAATAATGATTGAGAAAGTTAGAGGGTCAAAGATCATACCCCCAAGACATGCTAACCTCCCCTGTTATTGTTAACGGTGAGAGATTAGCATGTCTTGGGGGTATGATCTTGGACCCTCTAACTTTCTCACTCATTCTAGCTCAGCTGGTAGAGCATGGCGCTTGTAACGCCAAGGTAGTGGGTTCGATCCCCGGGACCACCCATACACAAAAATGTATGCACGCATGACTGTAAGTCGCTTTGGATAAAAGCGTCTGCTAAATGGCATATTATTATTATTATTATTGTTATTCACGATTCATTCAGGATTATCCATTATCATGGTAGCATCCAAATTAATTTGGAAGTGTTTAGAAACATATTATATTCTTATTTATAATAAAAGTGACTCTAAAATGACACTACATTATTTATCATTGATTTCTTTTGGGCACAAAGTAATCTGAAACACAACCTAAACAAACTGCAAATGCATCCAACAAGTTTGTAAAGTCACAACCTTGATGTAGTCATTGCGTGCTACGAATATGGGACCAAATACTACATTTCTCACTACTTTATTAATAAGAAACTTTAGGGGTGTCAATAATTTTGACCCCTACCTTTTTGAGAAAAAAAGTATTACTTGTTTCTCTGAGCAATTCTATTAATATAAAATAATATAATTTCCCAATTTTTGTAGAGCATACAATATAGCTCAGTATTTTAATTATTTATTTTATACAGTCATTATTGGCAGGTCTGTGATTTCCACCTCATTCAACTGCATGTTGTTAGGTTAGGTAGCGCCTTGTGAATATTTCTGCTCTCTGGAACATATTTTAACTTTTTCTCATATCCCCAATGTTTGTATTCCATTCATTACATATTCATAAACAGAACTTTCCTGTCAGATCTATTCTGAACTAATGGACCTAAAGCAGGAAGAGCTAGATTAGAGCTTTTGGTTTTACAGTGATGGGTAACAGATAGAAATAGCCCCAGAATAATCACCCCTCATTAGATGTACAAACAATAATGTAGCATTTTTCTTTTCATGGCATGGACAAGGAAGCCATTAGTGGCACTGGGCACCCAACCCCCTACCCCATAGATAATGAAGGCCACTTCCCAGCAGTTTCATTGAGAGTTGAGTTACTGCTGTTTTGACTACAAAGACAAAGATCTATAAATTGATTGTGCAGAGATGATTTTCTCAGGAACAAAACATAACATATACATACACATACTGTCAGTGAATAATTAACCTGCATGAGGCTGTTTGATTTGTGTTAAATGAGGGGAGAGCTGATATTTTTCTCGCTTCATCAATTTCTTATTGCTACTAAGGATTTTGGCGATGCACCAAATAGAACTATCACATTTACGATCCATATGTTCTTTCAACTTTTTCCTCTCTTTCATTAGAAAAATAAAAGCTGGTAATCCTGGGTTAGCATGTGTTTATTGTGTTAGTGTATTTTCCCTGTTCCAGTCAGGCCCCCTCCAGGCTGTGCATGCTTCTGCCTCATGATGCCATGTGGAAACCTTAGGACTGGAGAAACAGGCACACAGCAGGACACGACATACTGTACACACAGAGATGGTGCTTTTTCCTTTCACCACCATCCAAGCCTTGGAAATAAAGATTGAACAGCAAGTTTTCTGCATTTGTTTTAATTCTCCACATTCCAAACATTGTTGTCTGTCCTTTTGTTGATGCTTTCTGACCACAGAGAGAGGGGTTACTGTCAGCGAGCTGCTGGCTTCAGTGCACACAGCAGGCAGAATAAAGGCTGAAAACATTGTGTGTTGATGTGCCTAGATCAATTAAATAGCTTTCTGTATTAATATCCTTGAAATACCATGCCTGATAGTAGCAAAATGATCAACAACAACAAAAATACATTCAATACATTAGTGTGAGAATTCTTCCCCTTCAATTCAACAGTTGAAGAAGTCTGCTATATCCTACATTACTCTTGCAGACACCCTCTCCAACTCTCTTCACAAAGCTCTGGTTCATGGGAACTCCAGAATTAACACACAATGAAACCCTCATCTCTCACATCTCTGGGAACACTTCAGCGCTCCACCCATCCATTCTGACCTGTGGTGTACCACATCCTTGGGCTGCAGTGGTGGACGAGAGAGAAAAGAAAAGCCTTTTTTTTCTCTAATGTTATTACCTCTACTCCGACAGGAAAATTAGCCTTGTCACCAGCCACTGCCTCCACAGCCTGACGAACATGAGAAGATAGAGGAACACCGAACCCTCCCGCTCCGTTTCCCGCTCCCGCTTATCTCCACCCAGCCCAGTAAGGACACTGGGAAGCCCAGATTTAAAGTAGGGATAGAGCCAGTATGGATAGAGAGGAGATCGAGAGGCAGCAGCCCTGCCACAGCAGACTGTCATATCCCTGTGATCTCAACTAGCCTAGTGGCTCCTGCGGCAGTGAAATTCCATCAAGAGAGCTGATCTTTCTTAGGTGATAAACTGTACTGCTGTTGTAGACTACTGCGTAGTGATGGAATGATGTGATAGCCTGATACGGTATGCTTGTTTTGATAGATGTATTTACTACAGGTAGCCAGGTAGGTAGATCCCTGACATTGAGGAGTACTTAATTCCCTCTGCCTCCATTACTGACACATGACTCACAACCCTACTGCTACCAGTAGAGTAGGTTCATGCATCACAGAACTGCTAAAGCACTCTTTGTGACGGTGTTCACATATATTTGACGAGTGTTCAGATAGTGGGTCTGGTTAAAGTCTTGATTTAATCCAGCACTTAAATCGCTGTGTCTGTGCTCACAAAGCCATTTATTCCAGTAAATCAGCTTAGCCTTACAATGGTCAGTGGGTATGAAGGCCACTAATGGCTCAACATTACTTTCATCATCCCTGCCTTAGGGAGAGAGAGGGAGGGAGAGGTGATGATAGAGCACGAGAAGCCCCCATAGCTATAATGCCATTTCTTTTCGATTTCAGCCCACTATTATCCCTGACCATGAAAGCAAATATTTTCAAGTCTCTTCATAGCAAAGTCAGGCAGACTGAAAGGGTTGAAACCATCACCAGTCTAAAGTGGATAAAGATGTTATTCCTGAGTGAGTGAACCTAGCTACTTAAACTACCTGTAGTAAACAAAGCTATCGCAACAAGCATACTATATCACACAATCACATTGTTCCATTACTACGCAGTAGTCTAAAACAGCCGTACAGTTTATCACCTATGGTCAGCTCCTCTGTTGATGCAATATCACTTCCACAGAAGCCACTAGGCTAGCTGAGATCACAGGGCAGCCCACATGACTTACTACAGAATTATGTAGTAAATTGTAGTATACTTAAGCAATAAGGCCCGAGGGGGAGTGGTATATGGCCAATATACCACGACTAAGGGCTGTTCTTATGCACTACTCAATGCGAAGTGCCTGGACACAGCCATTAGCCGTGGAAAATTGGCCATATAGCACAAACCCCGGAGGTGCCTTATTGCTATTATAAACTGTTTACCAACATAATTAGAGCAGTAAAAATAAGTATTTTGTCATACCCGTGGTATACAGTCTGATATACCACGGCTGTCAGCCAATCAGCATTCAGGGCTCGAACCACCCAGTTTATAATGTAGAATACTATACTAAACACTGTAATATCCCTTGATCATGTGTAGTGCTTACTATAGAATGTTGTAGTATACTGTAGAATACTATAGTAAATACTACAGTATTAACCACAAAAAATCTCTGTAGTAAATACTACAGTAATGTCCTCAAAAACACTACAGTCCGCAAAAACACTACACCTTTTTTAACTATAGTAAATACTACAGTATGTAATTAGTATATACCCTGCCCATTCCCATTCCCCATATCCCAATTTGTGCCACCCATAAGTGAGAAACCTACATGCCAAGTATAGACCACATAGTGTGTTCAATACACAGTCCTACCTACCTACAGGTTATGCTATTTTAGTATTTCTCCAGTAGGTTTCCTCAACGAGAAAGCATCCACTTCTTTGTCACAGATAATAAAACAAAAACACTAAATACTACAGTATATTACAGTCCGCAAAAACACTACAGTAAATACTACACTATACTATAGTCCGCAAAAACTACAGTAAATACTACAGTATACTACAATCCGCAAAACACGACATTAATTACTATAGTATATACTATAGTTTTCTTTTACTACAGTATTTATACTATAGTTAACTGTAAATACTACAGTATACTACAGTAAATACTACAGTATTACAGTATTAACTGTAAAGCCCACAAAAACACTACAGTGAATACTTTAGTATTTATACCATAGTATACTATAGTATTTTTTCATTTCGTAGGGCTGTTGCCTCTCTATCCCTCCTTTAAATCTGGGCTTCCCAGTCTCATTACTGGCCTGGGTAGAGATAAGAGGGAGTGGGAAACGGAGCAGGAGGGTTCGGTGTTGCTATATCTTCTCAGGGTTGTGCATCCACGGATATCATAAAGTGCAGCTGCAGCACCATTTTAGAGCGACACCTCCATTGACTATAGAATTTGTCTTCCTCCTTTCTCTCTCTCTTTCTCTTTCTCTCTGTTTCTCGCTCTCTCTCTCCATCCATTTATCTCTCCGTCTGCAATAAAGCCAATTAGTGCCCAGCTAATGAAGTGGAGGCTGTGATGACTTCCTGTGGAACATGTCTCTTCATCCTCCCTGGCTCCCCTCCATCCTCCCCTCCATCCTCCCCGGCTCCCCTCCATCCTCCCCAGGCTCCTCTCCATCCTCCCTGGCTCCCTTCCGGGGTGAGATCTAAAGCTCCAGCCCTGATAGAGACCCCTAGTCAGAGTTGTGATAGATCTTTATCACTCCCTATTACACAGCCAAGGCTGGGGAGCGAGACTTGTTGCCATCCTCGCAATGTGACAACATGGCTGTGGGAGAGAAGAGGCCGTCCAGATTATAATTACATTTACATTTTAGTCATTTAGCAGACGCTCTTATCCACAGCGACTTACAGTTAGTGAGTGCATACATTTTCATACTGGTCCCCCATGGGAATCGAACCCACAACCCTGGCGTTGCAAGCGCCATGCTCTACCAACTGAGCTACACGGGACTACATGAAGGGAGAGCTGTTGTGAGGGAATAACATTCATTAGAATAATATTGTTGAGGAGATCATGTGAGGCCCACGCGGCTCTAGCTGCTGCCTCCCTCCACTGTGTTGCTCTAACACACCGCAAGCTCAGTAATACATGCACTCATCTTGTGTGCCTCATCAAACCGCTTGAAGATGTGTATTTCATCATCCTACTGCATAACTAATCTCCACAGCACAGCACCGCTCCAACAGGGGAACACAACACAGGCAGCCAGATATCTAGAAGGCACAGTGTGCTGCACATGAGCATGGTGTGGTATCTCACTGTGTGTGTAGGGATGGGGGACGATATCTATTCAGTAGCTCAGGGAACCCTAATTCGAATCAGTACTCTTCCTGTGGGATTGTGCTTCTGGAAGAGCTGTGATATCCATGTAACATTACCTTACAAATTAGAGTTCAGACACTTAACCTTAAAGCTGTGAGGATACACAAAACCATCATGATGACACATAGGTTTACGAATAAAATAGTTTACAGTTTGTTCATGATTAATCAAGCTAATGAAAATAGATTTTATCTTCAGACTTTATTGATATGAAGATGGTGTTACTTGTCTAATAAATAATTACATGAAGCCTGCCAGTAGCAGAGTTTACTTTCTCCCTCACAACCAAGATGCCAGAACAAATATCTTAATCTGCAGAGAATGTCTTGGCTTGGTTACTGTGGGAGATCGGGCCAAGTCTTCAGTTTCCCCTCTGAGGCAATGCCTAAACCCAGTCTGCAGTCTGAGGGAGTGCAATGAACAGAAAAGCACAGAGACATATACTAGCGCATGTATTTATATTTCTCTGGAAAATAATCGCTTTTAACAAACAATAACGCAACCTTGAGCTGTACTTGGAACCAAGCATGTGGATTCCAGATCCACCTACACAAAAGTATGTGGACACACCTTCAAATTAGTGGATTCTGCTATTTCAGCCACACCCGTTGCTGACAGGTGTATAAAATTGAGCACACAGCCATTCAATCTCCATAGACAAACATTGGCAGTAGAATGGCCCGTACAGAAGAGCTCAGTGACTTTCAACGTAGCACCGTCATAGGATGCCACCTTTCCAACAAGTCAGTTCATCAAATTTCTGCCCTGCTAGAGCTGCCCCAGTCAACTGTAGGTGCTGTTATTGTGAAGTGGAAACGTCTAGGAGCAACAACGGCTCAGTGGTAGGCCACACAAGCTCACAGAACAGGACTGCCGAGTGCTGAAGCCTGTCCTCGGTTGCAACACTCACTACCAAGTTCCAAACTGCCCCTGGAAGCAACGTCAGCACAATAATTGTTAGTCGGGAGCTTCATGAAATGGATTTCCATGGCCGAGCAGCCGCACACAAGTCTAAGATCATTGGACTCTGGAGCAGTGGAAACGCGTTCTCTGGAGTGATGAATCACGCTTCACCATCTGGCAGTCTGACGGACGAATCTGGGTTTGGCGGATGCCAGGAGAACGCTACCTGCCCGAATGCATAGTGCCAACTGTAAAGTTTGGTGGAAAAATGGTCTGGGGCTGTTTTTCATGGTTCGGGTTAGGCCCCTTAGTTCCAATGAAGGGAAATCTTAACGCTACAGCATACAATGACATTCTAGATTATTCTGTGCTTCCAACTTTGTGGCAACAGTTTGGGGAAGTCCCTTTCCTGTTTCAGCATGACAATGCCCCCATGCACAAAGTGAGGTCCATACAGAAATAGTTTGTTGAGATCAGTGTGGAAGAACTTGACTGGCCTGCACAGAGCCCTGGCCTAATCGCCCAACATCAGTGCCCGACCTCTTTTATTTTTTATTTATTTAACCTTTATTTAACCAGGTAAGCCAGTTGAGAACAAGTTCTCATTTACAACTGCGACCTGGCCAAGATAAAGCAAAGCAGTGCGATAAAAACAACAACACAGAGTTACATATTGGGTAAACAAAACATAAAGTCAAAAATACAAACAGAAAATATATATACAGTGTGTGCGAATGTAGTTATGGAGGTAAGGCAATAAATAGGCCAAAGTGCAAAATAGTTACAATTTAGTATTAACACTGGAATGATAGATGTGCAAAAGATGATGTGCAAATAGAGATACTGGGGTGCAAATTAGCAAAATAAATAACAATATGGGGATGAGGTAGTTGGGTGGGCTAATTTCAGAATGGCTGTGTACAGGTGCAGTGATCGGTAAGCTGCTCTGACAACTGACGCTTAAAGTTAGTGAGGGAGATAAGAGTCTCCAGCTTCAGAGATTTTTGCAGTTCGTTCCAGTCATTGGCAGCAGAGAACTGGAAGGAATGGCGGCCAAAGGAGGTGTTGGCTTTGGGGATGACC